TTTTTTTAACACTAATACTTAATAACTTGATTTTAAAGATAATTTTTACGCTCATATATATATACACTATCTCTTAAACGGTCAGCGTATTCTTCGATTGTAACACGAAATCACGATCTCGCATTCTTATTGATCGATTTAACGACCAGCAAAGTAAAAATAGTCAATTGACCAACTTTTAAAAGAAAGTTATACAAAATCACAAGGACAACCAACGCCCGAAATTTTTTTTTTTACAGACCTATCGGCTATATCTCAGAGATCATTTTCATATTAGGAGGTGATATGCTTAGATAAATTTTATATATCAGAAAAATATCAATAGTTGATTAACCGTTTAAGTGATAACAAGTTTATATTAAAAAAAAGGAAAGACGGGATATGATAATTAATCTATTTTTTTAAAGCATCATTGAATTTTAAATACACAGTGCCCGAAAATTCTGCAAGGATAGAAAAAATCGTCGATCATTACATATGTGAAGTCTGTAAAATTTTAATATTAACGAAACATAAAAATAAATGTTTATTAAATCATCTAATTTAGGTTGTATTTTTGTTAAATTGTTGCTAATTTTTTGTTGTTGAAATCGGAATTGTCTGCTTTGCTAAACAAACCTCTCTTTTTACCAAAGCAGTTAAAGATTTTCTTATTTCATGACATTTTAAAAATAATGAAACGAAACAGGTGATTTTAAATCAAAAATTCAATTTTATGAAAATCATTGTTTTTTTTTTAAGGAGAAATTCAAGGATTTATATAATATTTTATAGTAAATATTACATTTTATTTGTTTTCTATATACTTTAGTATGCCTTACTATTTATTTATTAAGACCTAATGATCGTAAGCTTATTTTTTTGAGATTTTTTAAAAATTGGGAGTCCGTTATTATTATAGAGGAAGAAAGTTTATTATTATTAATAGAAAGTGGAGGGTTGGCAAATGTGTGTGGTCCATTGGATCTATTAGCGTAACATTTTAACCATATTTAGTATTTTATTAATAAGTCTATCAGTTCTCAATGAACCAGTCAATTTGCCAACCCTGGAGTATTAGTATTTCCGTGCTAGATTTTTGTCACGTGTAACTTGTAAATCATTTCCGATTTATTTTCAAGTCTCTCGTGATCTATAAATCACAATTTCACAATAACACAATCATTTGCTAGATGTGACGAACGATTCCATTTTTGTTTGCAGAATTTGCATTTAATGGCCAGGTGATTTATTTGAATAAAATAATATTACACAAAGAACAATATTTTCATCTTGATCTTCTATTTTCAATTTGCATTACTAAAAACTATGACCTGATCTACGTATTTATGTGGTACGATCAATCATTCGACAGTTCACTCTGTTACTATTACTATATATATAATAATAATGGGTCATTTGGCTTAGTCTGGTTATAAAGATAACCTGTTATAGATAGAATTAGTAATAGTAGTAGTAGAGGACCCTGATACAATCTTAGGAGATGGTACATTTCAATTTTGGGTATATAGAAATGACCTTCAAAATCGAATATCAATTCTTAATTAGGATAAAATTTCCAAAAATGGTAATAAAATGGGTATTTTTTTCAATGTACCACCATCTCCTAAGATTTTGTTCAGGGTCCTAGTGTTAATAATAGTAATAGTAAATAATTTCGGTACAGTAAATAATTACAGTTAGCGTAATAACTTCGGTACTGTAACAGGTAAGTTATTATTATTTCAGTTAGCGTAATCTGTACATTGGCTCAAACAATTTCATAATCAATTTCTATTGCTAACGTTATTTTCTGATGAACCAGGTGAAAAGCAACGAGTTGTAAAAAAAATTTTAATGAAAATATTATTTATACTTCTAATAAATTTACTAATACTAAAGAATGTATTATTATTATCCTATTTACGGAATTACGCTAACCATAATTATATTATTACTATATTTATGGTAGTATCAAGTACGAATTAAATGCAATAAAGTTTAATTACTGCGTAATTAAACCAAGGGGAAATAATTTGAAATTTAATTTTTGTAATAATTATATCATTAAACAATATTAATATTTAAACTTTCTCACATAATTAATTAATCACGGAATTTTTTCTTGCCGAAATTCCGTAATAGTAATTATAATAATAGTAATAGTAATTTCACAACAAGAATAATAGTAATAGTATTTTAAAGGCTAGGAACATAGGTGTAACCTTTTGTGAAATTTATCTACATTAATTAAAATATATAAATAAGGGTTTTGGAAGAGGATTCCTTATTTAGAAAAAAGATCTGCCAAGATTATTTTCAAACCAATTTTTGATCTGATTGATCTGAAAACCAAAAAGTATCGGATGTCCAACAAACGTAATAATAATAACTATCCCGAAATCGTTGGTAATATTCTGTATGCCATGATGCACCATCGGCACCTTCACAACCGAATACACATTAATAATATCCAATATGAAAAGACAAAGTCATTCACTCTCACACAGTAGCCGGAATTTTTCCAATTCTAATTAACATTTTTGCTATTCTCACAAAGCGATTGCATTTCAGTTGAAACCAAACTATAACTTCCAAGCCAAATCTAACTTTTAACATTGATTGACTTTGGAGCAATTTATTTTTGCCACTTTTTGAAATACAATAAACACAAAGATAGCTTGCCGCCGTGGATAAGATAAAAGTGTGATTAATGCACTGCTCGTTTGACATACATGGATTCATTGTCAATAATAGTCAGTCGACTACAAATAAATTAAACCTATACGGAAACAAGCATGTATGTTTTTAGATTATATATGAGTGACAAACGCATGCATCCTTTATATACACATACACTCACCTACCATAAATATCCGACCACCCAAGTTGTGTAACTTCAAATGGAAAGAGTCCTTACTAAAAAAAGTAACGTTTTCTTAAATAAAACCGTTTTTACTTTACCGAGTAGACTTGTACTTGATATCAAAATCTCTAAATTACAAAAGCTTCGAAAGGTTCGGTAGGATATTAATGGAAACATTTAGCAAATAGTCCAAAAAAGCAAATTTTCAAACATGTAATAAAGGTCAAATTTCTTCATTGTAATGTATATTATTTTATTAATAAAATGTGCTCAACGTAACAGATTAATTAGTTTGTGAAGAGAGTTTAAAAAAGTATCCGACCACCCTTAATAAAGTTGACAAAATGCAAATTTTAAGGATTTACGTTTTAACCATATATAATTCAAGATAATTTTAAGTGGACTTACTTAATGACGTAATCCATGATTCAACGGAGTTTTGAAGGTTTTTATTAAGCTCAAAGTTTTCCTAAATTCATTAATAATGCAAACTCGACGAGACTTTAAGTTTATATGCAAATTAACTTTAAAAAACATGCTTACTTAATTCACCGGTCCCGGTTTGATTAATAAAATTTTGAACTGCATAAGGCGGTAACATTTCCGATTATTAAAAATATTAAAAATGATCATCAGGTGGTCGGATATTTATGGTAGGTGAGTGTACATCACACACACATATATATATATATACAATATATATATGATTAGAAAGATAAAAATAAAAAACTCAATTCAAACAAAACACACATAAAACACCTTTTTTCATTGGATGTATGTAGTATGTCTATCTGTCTAAAATATTTTACTATAAATAATATTGACTCATGAATATTAATTAAATTTACGAACATAAGCCAAAACTGCGCTCTAAAGCATTCAATGTCTTCCAACATTATTCTTTGTATTTTTTATATACAAGCCTTTTTAAAAATATAACAAATATTATTGCCATCATCCTCTAATAAAACATTTATTGTCTATCCAGCGAAAGATTACGGGAGCATCAGAATTTGATAATATTGCAATAGAAACAATTGGATTTCAACCACCGTTTACTGAATAATCGAAAACAGGATGTAGCTATTACTATTACTATTACTATTACTATTACTATTACTATGCTGGCATAGTTTCGATATATCATAATCATCATTTGTCACATTAGAAGGCCCTTAATGTTTTATGTACTGACAAAATGTAATATGTATATAAAAACTGTGACTATTTGTTTGTCCATTCAAAATATCTAGTAACTTATAAATAATAAACTCCTGAAAAATTAATTAGGCTGATTCAAGATTCCAGCAGATCTTGGTACAATATGGAAATATTGTGTGCTATTACAAATTACATAAACAATCATCGCTAAAGTTCTTGTACTGTCGGAATTTCGTAAATAAATAGTAAATATAAATAAAATAAATGGAATAAATAAATGATTGTCATTTTGATTGAATAAATTGGATTGTTATATTTCCGCTAATAACAAATCTATATTTTTTTCTTTCTATTTTTTATCAATCAATCTTTATAAAAAATCTTATTTCTTTCTTTCACTCACTCACTCTTTCAAATTCGTATATTATATAACGTTCTTTGAGCATATTAAATTTAAAAATTTTTTTTAATTTTCTCAAAAAGTAATCATTACCTAATTTAGTTAATTCAATTACATTAATATTTTATTTATTATTTATTCTTTTAAAATGGCTCTGATCTAATTTCCATCTGTTTATTATTATTATTTAAATGTATATATACTACGCGTTTCATTTAATGTGGTGGATGGATGGACTATATAATATAAATAAATAGATATTTTCGATAAAAAACTATATAAATATCGGAAAAAAAAATTTTTTTTTTAAACTTTTTTTTAAATTAATGAATCTTTTTATTTTTTTTTTTTTTAAATGATTTTTTTTTTTTAAAAAAAAATTTTCATTTGTAAAATTGTAAAATTTGACAAAAAAAAACTCCCAAAAAAATGGGAACTTGCTCATCAAAATCACTATTAAAATGTGATCCATTTTCTAATGAAATAAAACAACAACAAGAAATCCATATATATCAACAACCAAATCAACATCAAAAACATCATCACCATCAACATAGTGATAGTTATAGGTATATTGATGGTAGAAGATTTCATATGGATGAAAATGTTAAATACTTGTATCCAAATGATGAAGAAGAAATTGAAAGATTAGAAAATCAATATTATTTACTTAAAGAAAAATGGAATGCGACATTCTTGTCACCTGTAGCACCTAAGTTGCTTGCTGGTGGCAAAGTATTGGATATTGGGTAAATAGATAGATAGATTAATTATCGATACTGATTTTTTATCATGATTAATAAACCACTAAAAACCGATCTTTTCTTTCCATCTATCTACACCACCCACATCTTTCTTCCTTCATAGATGCGGGACAGGAACCTGGATCCTAGATTTAGCAACGGAATATAAATCAACCACATTTATTGGACTTGATATATCACAAATATTTCCACAAACTGTCAAACCAAGAAATGTGTCATTTATAAAATATAATGTATTGGACGGGTTGCCATTTCCTGATGACTGTTTTGATTTTGTAAATCAATCATTTTTAGCATCTGCATTCACTGTTTCCCAATGGCCCACCATACTAAATGAAATAATCAGGGTTACTAAACCTGGTGGTTGGATAGAATTTTTGGAAGGTGATAGCATTGTTTATAATAAAGGACCTGTTATACAAAGACTAGATGCTAGCAGTAAGTAATTATTATATATATATATATATATATATATTGACAAAAGAAAATACTAATTTAAAATAATTTATTATTATAGTGACAAATTTTCTAATTTCACAAGGATTATCACCAAACGTTAATAAAATATTACCAGAATTATTAAATTCTTCTGATAAAATAATAGATGTAAGATATGATGAAAAAACTTTACCGCTTGGTATCTGGGGTGGGAGATTAGGATCTGTGGTGAGTGTGTAATTGATTATTAAATGTTAATTAATCTCCAAAGTTAAAAGATCAACCTTAAAAAATTAATCACTAATCTTTATACATCTATACACTTTATTGTATGTTTATTTGTAGACACTTGAGGTGTTTATGATAGAATTGAGAGCAATTAGGAACAGAATACAGAGTGAAATGGGGATTAGTAATGAACATTATGATGCATTAATGGAGGCATTTGTTGTGGAAGTTAATAAATTTAAATCTTATATAAAGCCATTTAGATTTTATGCACAAAAAAGAAATTTTTAATTCATATTTTTTTTTTTTTTTGAGGAAATTAATTTTTTGAGGATTACATTATTATCAATGAGATGAAATTAATTTTTCAATTAATTAATTCTATTTAAATAATTTTTTATAATTTTATCAAAATATTAATTATGTATTTATTTATCATTTGTTGATATATTATTCATCTATTTACACCTTGTCATCATCATCATCATCATCATCATCATCATCATCATCATCATCATCATAATATTTAGAGATAGATTTTTGTAAAAATATATATATAAATAATATAAATAATATAAATAATATAAATATAAATAATATAAATAAAAATAAAAATAAAAAACAAATAAATCACAAATTAATTAATTGACTTTGTTTTTTTTTTAATTTGTTCCCTTATTTTTTTATTTTAGATTAAATATTTAAGGATTTATTTATTTTTTCTTATAATAAAAAATCAATTAAATTGATATGCAAACAGTAGGAGAAGGTGAAGCACTGAAAAATGAAGGAGGAGTAAACAAACATTAATAAAAAATATTAATAAATACCATGATCATACAAATGCAGTCAGCATAAATCAATGATTTGCTCAAAATAGATTGATAAATTTGATTTTGATGTGTTTTTTAATTGGTGTTTGGAAATCTCATAAAATTATTAAAGAAAAGAGTGAAAAATCTTGCAATTATTTCTTTTTCCATTACTGCTAATTATTACTAATATAAACAGTAGGTATTAAAATATCACGTGAAAGCTCATCGAAAATTTGTACAAATTTGGTAGCGTGATATGTTGTACTGAAATCTTTAAAATCTTTCCATCTATTTACACTATATAAAAAAGCTGGCTGATTACAACAAATAAAGTTATTTGTTTGTTTATAAAAAACGCGCGTGAATTTCTCTTTCCGAATAATAAAGAATAACAAGGATACTATAATATATTAAATGATAAAATAAATAATTAGATAATTATCACGCTTATTATTCTAATTATCTATTTTTCTTATTTTTCTCCTCCTTCCTTTCTTTTCTTTTGCTTTTTGTATCCGTCGCTTACTCGATCAAGTTTAGTTTGTTTTTTTTTGATACCTATCATGATATAGTATTTCTTTTTAATAATTAATATATATATATTTTCACGCATATTCACACACGCGCAGTTTATTTATATATATATACCACCTACCTTGTTATATATAAATGTGTATATATATATATATATATTTATTAAAAAATCTTATAAACTCATAAAGACTTGTTATTACTATTTATTTTTTTCCTGAAATCAAAAATTTAATCGAAACACAATAAATCAAATCAAATTAAATCAAATCAATCATCAAAAATCTTAATATCAAAATCCAATTAATCCCTTAATCTGTCTTTCAATTCAAAAAAATTTCAAAAAAATCTTTTCTTAAAAATTTTTTCCTACTTATCTATTTATTTTCTATTTAATTATTATTATTTTAAAATAATAATAGTATTAACAATGGCTATTAAAACGATTGGATTAGCACTTATTGGGTTCGTCTCCTCATTTATTCCTTCTGCACTATTTGCATTTACTTTTGCTTCTCAAGATGAAGAAAAAAAACAACCAGAACATTATGGTAATAACAATAATAATAGGAATAATTGCAGGAATAAAATTTATCCTGTTAACACTAGCGGTAATGGTAAGGATAATGGTGGCAGCATCATAAACCAGGATGATATTAGTATAAGGAATGATGATGATGGTGATGATGATAATTTTAATGAAGGCGATAATAATAGTAAAAATGATATTAGTAATGGTGGTATTGTAAATGATTATTATGATTATGATAATTATGATGATGAAAATCAACTTAAAAACCCATTTTTTCAAACTCTACAAAAATCACAAACTCAAGTTCATCATCATCACCGTCATCATCATACTCAAAATTTAACCGAGTATGAAACTGAGTATGGATATCAAGAAAAAGAAGAAAACATGCCAAAATCAAATCATTATAACCAATATCCTTTTTTAACGGATGGTTTAACAGATAGTGATGAAATTAGTAATGACATTAATGATGTTAGAATTATTAGTAATATAAACAGCGGCAGCACTAGTAGTGAGGATGAAGGTGAACAAAATAGTAATGATCATAGTTATATAGATAATAACGAGTATGAGGATAATTCGTCGAAATTTGGATATTATTTAGAAGGTTGGGATTATACAAATAATGATGAGGAGAATGAGAATGAATTAGACGAGAATGTGAATGAATTAGACGAGAATGTGAATGAATTATATGAATTGGATTATGATGAATCTGATTATGATGAATCTGATGAATCAGACGAGGATGAAGAGTTAGACTACGATGAATTGGAATTGATAATGAAAAAGATACTTGCTTGTGAAAACGATAGTTCAGATGAAAATTTAGAATATAGTGACGATGAAACTGAAACTGAAGATGAAGATGTTGGAGATGATTATTATTATTATAATAATTATAATTACATTGATGGAAAGGATAATGATGAAACATCAATTAAATGTAAAAAAAATAAAAAGCTATTATTATCATTATTTAATCAATTTAATAATAATAATAATAATAATAACAACAACAACAACAACAGAAATCGTTGTTGTTATGAAAGTAGCACAATAGTTGTTTAGCAAAAAATTAGCAAAAAACATTTTTCCAAATTAACAATTTTTTATTTTATTCAAAAAAACTGTAAATAATAAATAAATTAAAAAATTTTTTTTTGAACTTTTCATATATATATGTTCACGTGATCAAACATAGTTATATATTTCCAAGATACATGCGTCATATTCGAGGATGATGATAATAATAATAACCAGGTAATATAGTTTTCATTTATAAAAGATTGCTTCTTCTTTAACGGCTATTTTTTCTTTTAACGGTTGTAACTAGCACCATAAGCATAATAACTAAGAAATATATTTATTTATTAATTCATGGTTGATAAATCAATTTAATTTGAGCGGAATTTTAGACCATGATAAAAAACAAAAAATCAACAACGCCTTCACATTAAAAAAAATCAGCAATATGCACGTTAGATAGGACCGTATAAACTTCTTGATGTTAGTAGGCATCTATAGAAAGTGTGTGCTTGTGTGAACTTGGTAAACCAATCACATTCATCAAAGCTGATTTCAATAGTGAACTATAAACAACCTGTTTTTTTTTTTTTAATTTTTTTAGTATAGATTGGAAAATAATCACAACTATATAAAGTATGACGCTTATTATAAATCTGTATCCTTCTTTTAAAAAAAATTTGCAAGTATTGTGTAAATTTTGTATTTTACAATATTAATATTGTACAAATTTACGTTTGAACATAAATATTGTAGCGGATGATGCTTTTAATTGGCCATTGTTTGTTTATTAAAAAAATTTGTTGGATTAATGTACACTTGAAGAGTTAGTAGTATTCTTCTTTTGGATTAATTTATTAACGCCTTTTTTTAATAACATAAAATATCAACGAAGACGCAAAATTTTATTCATGCGGCCCAAATATTTAATTCGATTATCGCAAATTTGATTTTAGCATTGAATTTTTGGCTTTAGAAATCATAATCCAATTTCAGGCTTAAAATAATCCTAATATTATCCTTTCTCACCCAATCCAAGAATCTAAGTTCCCAAAATATGATATTCAACCTTTTAATAGGTGTCTGGGTGGTTGGTAACCCCAATTTTAATTAGTAAATTGGGTCATGCATGGTTTACCGGCTGTCTCAAATGGTGAGGTTAATCCTTGTTGTAGATCATTGGATTAACCCTGAAAAAATTTTTTTTTTGGTAGATTCCCTGAGAAAAAAATAAATTAATAATAAAAATCAGAACAGTAATTGTCAGAAAAAAAGGAAATTTTTTTAAATTTGAGAATTTTCTTAAAATTATTAAAATTATTCATTTCATTCTTCTAAACCAACCGTCATTAATAAATGCAATATTCTATTTGCTAAAACCCCTTTCACAATTTATGCTAGAAAATGGAATTGAGAGTATACTATTTCCATAAGTTTTAAGATATTTGGATAACTTATTTAAATAATTATCATATAATAAAGGGAAATAAATCATATACTTGATAATTTGAATGTGAAATCATGTCCGAGTTTCACCACTAATCTCAATATTTTATTTAAATACTCTTTAACTTTTCTAATCTCAAAATGAAACTGCTTTCCTCCTCAAATATAATCAATAATTTCAATAGCTTCTTTGGCTATCAATCCATGGTAGTGGCTCCTACCACCCCTGATCACAATTTCTCAGCAGTACTTTGTTATCTGCCCGAGCTGGGAACATTCAAATATACAGTCAAACCTTGTCACAGCGGACCTCGCTACAGCGGATTTTTTTGTTACAACGGATTTAAATATTTTATTAGTATTAATATTAATAAAATGTGTCATAACGAATTTTTTTGACTGGAACCATGAATCCGCTGTGGCAAGGTTTGACTGTAATAAACCAGTAAAATAATTAACTCAGAAATTATTGAGAATGAATTCTAGATTGTAATGGACCTTATTTTATTTAAGCGTAGGAATTTAAATAATTTGATCACTTTAGAAATAACTTAAAACAATTCTATACAGAAGGTTCAAATAATGTTTAAGGAATACATTTAATTAGAACAATTAGGGTCTAGGTATATACGAGATGGTAATTGCCTAATTACCGTAGTAATACGTAATTAAAAACGTAATCACGAATTAATTACGTATTACGGGTGACGAAATTATTACGGATGACGAAACTAATTACGAATAACAACGAATTAATTATTGGGAATATCATAATACAAGTCACTCCGTTATAACAACACTCTCCGTACAAGCAAAAAATGTCAGCATAACGAGATTGTCATTATAACGGGAGTTCATATAGAAGTCATATTAATATGAGAATCATTGTCTTGTGATTTTATAATTTTTATTATCAGGAAATTAAAACTTACGCTGGGTCAAAATTGACCAGCATTATACGGAAGTGTTGCCATAATTTTCCATGATGCTGGTCAATTTTAATCCTGGCATAAGTTTTAATTCCCTTATGTTTTTTCAGAATGATCAGAATGATTTTGATTGGTTCTCCCATTATACTGACATGTCATTACATTAAAAAAGTTGATAAATTATGTCATTATGCTAGTATATATAACGGGATAAATAATAGGTGTCATTTAATTTCGTCACGCGTAATTAATTTCGTAAATAATAATAATTTCGTAATCACGTATTACGTTTTTGGCAAAACAATTACCATCCCATGTATAGTTTCAGGAAATCAAGAACTAGATGATGAACCTTTTGACATGTATAAATAATGTTGTAATTTTCTTAATTCATGTATAATCATATATCATATCATAATAATCATTTAATAAACAACAAAATGTCCATCCTTTTCGTCTTTGAATTTTATATTTTCGTGACAATAATAAGTCTATCTCTAATAAATGAATTCATACTGATCTCATGCATAATTAATATTCACTTGTTTTATATTTGTTTCTATTTTTATTATTATTTTTTATTCCTTTTATATTCTTTTAGTGAGGTAATCCTTAATTATTTAATAATAAGGCTCCAAATAAATCAATGAAATTCAATTCGATTTGATTCGAATATATAATTTGATTCTAACTGATTCGAACTGATTCAATTCAATTCAATTCAATCGATTCAAATTTATTAATAAATTGTGCAATTATAAATTGTATTACTTTTTTATTCTTCATTACGTACGTTATTATGGAAATACTACGAAATGTATATTTATTAATCATAACAATAATAATAATATTAATATAAACGGAAAAAACAGTAAGTTTAATAACGGAAAACACTGAGGCTAATCACTGAGTAACATTTATATTGTAGAGTAATACACGTAATATGCAAAAAACTTAATTTTGTTTGGAAGTCCTCAGATTCCCAAATGCTATTTGAGATAGATTTTTTATGTGATAAATTTGTGATGATAAACAGCCAATGAAATCAAATAGAACCTAATAGATTACCTTAATTTAATAATTAATTTATCTTTACTAATTTATACATTTCAAATTCTTCTAACAAATGAAATTGTTTGTTGCTATTTTTAAGATTCAAATTAACTTCATAAAAATCATTATGAAATTTATAAAAACAATAAGATTCATTACATAATGCTAAATCACGAAAACTTAATGAATATCCAGAAATTCTTTTGTCATCTTGAATATAATAAAAAGTTTGACCAACATGCTTTATTGCAACTTCAGGATTTTTGACTCTACTTAATATTGAATTATCTATTTGATTTTGATCAATTTTAAAAATAAAACTTTTATCTGTCCTGATATAATAAGTCTCTTCAGATGATTTTCCTTTTAAATTCCAGCAAACTGGACTATATCCCCCAATCAATTCACCTGTATCTTTAAGTTTCATAATAAAAACTGTTTTCTCAATATCAAAACAATTTTTTTCAAAATTTGATTTTGAAAATCCATCTCGAGATCCACGAAAGATTAAAATAAATTTATAAGGCAAGCTGTGTGAATTATATATGCCCTTTTTTTCATCAATCCAATTAACAATTAAAGATTTCATTTGTAGATTAAACAATCCTTCTCCTGTTCTATGAGCACTTTGAAGTAATAATGTTGATTGCTGCATATTAGTTAAGTAGTATTGAAGAAGTTCTTCATATATTTCCTTATCAAAAATTTTTTTATAAGGTTTGATTTTATTATTAAAATCTACAGGTGTTATTTGATTGAACCTTACTAATGGAATAATATCTTCTAAAATATTTTTCAATTTTCTGAAATCATCTTTATTCCAGTCTGAAAAATTTTTTTTCAATTCTTGATTTTGTCCTATTCCCCATTGAATAACACAATCCCAAATATCAATTTCGTTCATCTCCAAGTCATCTTTTTTCAACATAGTTATAAACCTTGATTTCTCCATTCCTGCAATGTCATCAGATTTTAAAAATGATTCTGGATTTTCATCAATTAATTTAGCACAATAACTTTGAAGTAAGTTGAATGATCGATATTTAGATGAAACTTTATGAATGCAGATAAGGTTTTGCTGAACCCACTCAAGTTTTTCCACAATCAAATTATTTTGTAAATCCTCAATTAATTCATTAAATTCTAATTCATCACATGCTTCAAGAAGTTCAAGAATTTCATTTTCATCCAGGCCATCTATATTAACAACTCCATTATAAATATATCTTTTAATAGTATATAGTTTGAATATATATATATGTATTATTATTAATAATAGAATTATCAATCAATTAACAATTAATATTAATATAATAAATTTATTATTAAATTATTTTAAATAATTCTTACGTTAAAAGAACCCCAAATATATTTGGAGAAATATTTTTTTTCTCAAATAAAATAATACCATCCTCAGATTTTTTTAACCAATTTTCTGACAAAGCAGCATTAAAATACAAAGATCTTGCTCTCAAGATATTAGAATGAGCCTTAAAAGTTTTACTATTATCATCTTCTCCAATCTTAATTTCCACATCACAAAAATCTGAATCATTCAATAAATTTGTTAAATCATTAATAACTTTGCTAATATATTTTAATGGTAAAGCATCTTTGTTAGTTTCAATAAAATTTTTAATTAATATGTTGATGTTTTCCAAAGATGAAAAGTTTTTATCGGACATTTTGAATGATTATTTTTTTAAAAAAATTATTATTTTTAAACATAAAATTGCATATTAATATTAATATAAGTTAGTCACGTGATAAATTGGTTTTGGCCTAATTCAGCCAAAAATCTTCGCCCCTTTTTTTAACGTAAGAAAAAAACGAAACTAAAATGGTGTAACAAAATTATCCGTTTCAGGAATGATCATTGATTTTTTAAAATAAAAAAAGTAATATAATGAATAAATAAATGGAATTTAACTTACAAAAAAGGATTTTACTGTTTTACAAAATTGAAAGCGTTGTATAGAAGTACTTAATTTAAATATTAAATATTAAATATTAAATATTAATACTAAATACTAAATACTTAATATTTAATATTTAATATTTAATATTTAATATTAAGCAGCTTAAAACAATGTTTTTTATAAACATAATTTTTTGGGAAGCATGGAATTAAAAAAACAAGGTTGATGTTATTGAAAATGATTTTTTCTTGTGCTGGCCGATTGTTGTCAAAAT